TATAGACTTATATCGACTTATATAGCGAAGAGAGAATAGATTTAGAATATAATAGTAATAACCCTTAGAATAGAACCCTAACGCTAAGAGTAAACTCTCTCTTCTCTCGCGTTACTTAGTTAGTTAAGAGAGAATTCTAAGAGCGAACCCTAGAGCCACCGAGTAATATTAGTATAGAAATAGACTCGACTCTAAGATAGAGTAGTTATTAAAGCGGAATATTAAGAGCGTCTTTAGTGTTCTTATATAGACCGAGTAGATCTATTATATTTACTAATAATATTTCAGTTTATATTCTAGACTTAATAAGAGAAGAGAATCTACCTTCGTTGCGAGCTTCTTCTCACAGTGCTGCGAACCCGCCCCCTAGGTAATAATAGAGTTAGATAATTCTTAAGTATACTATATACTATCGAACGAGGTCGTTCTATAGATAGAAGAGAAAGAGATATAATAAGATAAGATAACTATACTATAATGAGCTATACTAGGCTAGTAGAGCGGTGGTAAGGTGAAAAAGTTATCTAGTCACATATCAAACCTAAATGGACTAGTAGAGAGAAGATACGAAATAGTTTATAGTGCTAGCAGTGTACTATTCATTTTTTATAGATTGAGCAGAGTATTATGAATTCCATGGCTTTTGGTACCGTCTACCTAAATCCTAAGAGTGTTTTATTAGTTCTGTCCTATTCCTCGATGCTACCGCTGTGCTAGGTGTTCGTAGCCTTAGCCGCTGCCTCTCTGGGTGGTGTTGGTGGTGTTGTTGTCAGTATCAACCAGAAACGCGTTCTCGATTCCCGATCTGCTGGACAGGCCTCTGTGCGTTGTTGCACGTGCACGCCAAACCCTGAAGTGCTCTGTTACAATACAACATATAATATCGTCGAGAAATGCTAGTAGCGACGACAGTGGTTCATTTTGTACTCGAAACTAACCAAGCCTTTATCCTCATATGAGATCTACGACTATATAAGCTCCATCGCACTTCAAAGTAGTCAATTCTTATCACGAGTAGGTGGACACAAGGTAAAGCGTCAAATCTTCAACATAAATGGAGGCCCTCTGTAACTAGCATTAGCCCGCAGTGCTTCTCTAAAATATACAAATGATTACGGCATCGAAGGATTGGCAGAGGATGAACGACAACACCTTTAGAAATAAGATTCGTAATAGAAGGTATCCTGCTCGTTATAATGTAGCCGATACCACTACAACAACCCTAGCACTATCAGCCTAGCTTCGGCCGTGGGCGACGGCCATTCAAGGCAGCAACATCTCGAATCGAAGGAAAAACAGATTTGAGGAATTTGGGAAGAATGCCCCTATAAGATATAGAACTATTTCGCTCAAGCATCTGGAGGTCGGAATATTGAACGAAGATTTGGGCTTGGTACTTGATAACCGTCCATTCGCACTTTTGACGCTCAAATTTGCCGTCAGCGTCCCAAAGCTGTCTCCTGATCTCATGCGGCGAGCTTCAACTTCATTCGAAAGCAACCCCTTCGCTATTTCTCTCACAATATTTGTCCAATTCTCCACACTTTCCGACTTGGGCTCGATGTAGTCAATGTTGTTGTCGTGGGCATAGCGCACGAGCTCGGCAATCCACTCAACGCTAGACTGAATACTGAGTGGAATGTTACCCAATGCGCAGTGCGGCCCCATGACCATCATCATGTTAGGGTATCCTTCGACTGTCAAACCTAGGTACGTCTTCGGTCCGCCGTTCCATGTCTCTTTTAATCGCCGTCCGTTCAAACCTCGGATATCGATTCTATCAAAAGCGCCCATCACCGGGTCGAAGCCTGTTGCATAAATAATCACATCGAACTCGCGGTCTTTGTTGTCGGCAGTCAGGATACCTCTTTGTGTGATGCGATCAATCGGAGTCTCCTTCAGATCAACCAAGTCTACGTTATCTTGGTTGTAGACTTCGTAGTACTTGGTCTCAAGAGGGACTCGGCGAGTACCAAATCCATGGTCTTTGGGGATCAGTTTTTCGGCGGTCTCTTGGTTCTTGACTCTTTCGCGGATCTTTTTGGCTATGAATTCATTGAGGAGTCCATTTGCTGTTTGGTCAACCAATACGTCTTTGTAGTTGCCCATCCAGATCCCGAATCCTGGTGAGTCGTACAGACCCTGCCAGAACTTTTCCCGTTCTTCAGGCGTCACTTCAGGGGCCGACAGCGGGCTCGCGCGATGTATAAAGCCACCGAATGATCCTCGACAATGTTCAAAAAGTTCAGGATAGCCCTTTTTAATCTTCTGCATTTCTTCGGAAGTGATCTTGCTGTTATGAAGCGGAGCACACCAGTTTGGTCGGCGCTGGAACACTGTAAGATGGCTGGCAGTTTTTGAGACCTCTTGTATGGTCTGAACTCCAGTGGCACCAGTGCCAATAACCGCTACTCGCTTCCCGGCATAATCAATGCCGCCCTTTGGCCAACGAGCAGTATGGCATGACCGTCCCTCGAAATCGTCCAGTCCGGGATACTTTGGAAGCGTAAAAGCTGACAGTGGACCGATGCAGGTAATGAAAAACCGGGAAATAAAGGATTCATTGTTATCAGTAGTCAAGACCCAGGTCCTATCGCTCTCGTTGAAGTGTGCTGACTCAACTCGGGAGGAAAACTGGATATGTGGACGGATATTGAATTTGTCAGCCATGAAATTGATATAGCGTTCTGTTTCTTGCTGGGGAGCAAAATGCTCTGTCCAGTTCCATTCGTTGAGCAATTCTGGAGAAAAGCTGAAGCCATAAGTGTAGCTTTCAGAGTCGAATCGGCAACCTGGATAGCGATTCCAGTACCACGTGCCTCCAACTCCTGTTCCTGCCTCTAAGCACTTGACACGGAGGCCCAACTGAAGCATTTTGATGAGCGAGTAGCATCCTGAAAGCCCAGCTCCCACGATAATGACGTCGAATTCCGGGCTTGCTGTGCTGTTGAGGTTGCCGTTAACTTGGCCATTGACTTGTTTGGTTGAAGGTATAGTTGACATCTTTTTCAAGAAGACTAGCAGGCTGACAGTTTTACCTGCGGGCCATTCGATCCACCGGGCAAGTAAAAACCCTCAGGGTGCCCCTTTTATACCACTTCCCATTTATGCTGCTTTCCATAAATTCAACAGACCTGTATGCTGGATCTACTACCTTGCCAATAAGAACGACTTATTGAGACTGTTCGAGAGAGACACACAATTTTAAGAATTCCCTTGTCAATGGAAACTCTGGAGGAAAGCCTCGCTGGCACTGCAGCTGACAACGTTCTTGTATTGTGCTGGCATGCCATGGGGCATTGCAGCCTATGGCTATGGGGCATCCATCACTGAGACCGCAATAAGCCGACCAAGTTTCCTGCATGAGATGGGATTTGACACGGAACTGGTGATAGTGCCATCGTGGATCACTGAGATTGTTCCGCCTCGAGACCGCGGCATCCTCTCCAATATCAAGCCTATCTTCACCGATCTTGGTTAGCTCTGGGCCTCATGGACTGGTTTTGGCTTCTTTTACCACAGAAATGCGAACGCTCTAGGCTGCCAGCCAGCGATTCTATGTACGATTTCGGTATGGTTTGTACCGAAAAGCCGTCGATATTTCTTCTGCTACAAAATCGGTCTGAAGAAGCGTGGAAACTTCTTCGAGACCTTCGCACCTGGCATGGCGATGAATCGTTCGCAAAAAAAGGATTCGAGTGAATGAATAGGTAGATTCACTTCGATCGATCTCTGAAGGCAGGATATGTATGGATTATCTGACGCCCATCTACCGTAAACGAGTATTCGTGACACGGTGGCACACTGCTGAGATATTTCCGACACATCTCCGCCCTCATGGCATGAATGTCGGAATGTCGACATATGCCTTGACGAACATTGTCTGGTTACAAGCTGCACCGACTGTGTTTGCGAACATCGGCTCGAAATATTTCCTTTTCTTCATCACGGTCTTACGAACAGGAGATTGCCCTTGACGATGGTGATGTCAAGTATAAAAGGCCCACAACGTGTCAGGGAAGTTCTGTCCTTCTCACGATCGAACTGCGATTCTGCTGAAGAAGGTGCAAGCCCCGGCTTCTGCCCCAACTAATGCCATACCCCGCTCTCGCAAGCCCCAGACATTCCCCGCCTGCCATTCACTTTGCCTCTTGCCTCACGGATTGCCGATGAGCAACACCAGCTGCTGCCACCACTGGCGCAAAGAACGGAACAACAGGAAAAATAGCTTGAACATCATCTCTGGCTTATCTGTACAACGTCCTTTCGGCTCATCCGAATGTCGGACGTTGGGGAGACGACGGGGTACAAACGACGTCAAAGAGCTGGCCGGGCTTGCCAACGCTGTCACGAGAAAAAGGTATCATGGTCAACTTTCGAGTTATCTTGCCTGCTGAACTAATCTTGTACAAGATAAAATGTGACCTCTTGAAACATACAAACGAGGAAACGGCAAGATGCCAAAATTGTATGACTACAAACGCGACCTGCCAGTATGTTGAATAAGATTCCTATCTCAGGATATTACAGCATCTAACGGACGCAGACTACGTCCATCGAATCGTGGAAAGAGACGAAGCGTTCGTTCACCTCTTCTTGCCGCCAACCATGCTATACAAAGTAACATTGGGCGTCTTAGTGGATGGATGGGAGACGCACAAGATGACCCAGAGTACGCTGCCGAAACCTCTGTTGAGCAGGACGACGAAGGCCATCCATTCCCTCCATATACACTCCCAAATGAGTCGGGTGGACCGACATTGTGTGAGCCTACACCGGCTGCGTTGCGATCCTTATCCGGACATCGGCACTCGAGCATCTTAGATCCACGTGAGGCTAGGCAGCAGCGCTCGACTACAATAACCTTGGAACCAGGGTTTATGGTGCCGGAAAATGGTACTCCTGTATCGCAAGGATTTCAAAGTTACCTAGGTGACGTGGGCTGCATGCAAATTTTCAGCAGCGACAATGCAGATAGCCCTACAACAGGCGTCTTGCCAATGGAGCGGCATAATAACCTGGACGAAATCCCATACGAGCTCATGCAGAGCTATCTCGAGACCTATTTCAAGTACATATACTTATGGTGCCCGGTCCTGGACAAGCAGATGCTTCGAGAACGTCCAAGTACTCTATCCTCGCCTCTGCTAAAACACGCGCTCGCTCTTTGCGGCGTCCGACTTCAGCCTCCGCTTATCGCCCACACCTCCTGTCTGGATCATTATAGACGCGCAAAGGGTCTTTTCTATACTAACTACCCCGAGAATCCCATTTCGCAAATATCTGCCATTATGCTGTTCCACTGGTACAGTCTCAGTCCGCCCAATTTGGTCACCAAGGACAGCAATTGGTGGTGGATTGGGACCACAGTTCGCCTGGCTCAACAAATTGGACTACACCGGGAACCAATAGCCGCTCAACCAGCTTACACAGGAGAGACGCCGGCACTCAGACGTAGGATATGGTGGACCTTGTTTGTGAGTGCACGTGCAACACAGAGGAAAGGAAGCATGGCACTAATATTCCTTAAAGGTGAGAGATCGCATTGCAGCGCTAGCCCAAGGGTTGCCACTTATCATCGATAAGGACTATTGTGACATCAAAACGGTTACAGTGGACGACTTCCCAGATCCGGAGCACATCTCTGCAACTATTTTCGTCCAATGGGTTCACCTTTGGGATATTGCCGGACGCATTACTAAAGAATTGCTTCTGAAAAAGGACGCTCAGAGCAAGGCACTCCTAGCCCACGAACTGATTGGCTGGGCACAGAATTTACCAAGTGCTCTCCAACTGCCAATCGGCGACCATTCGGTATTGGATTTCAACCGAGATATGTATTATCTCCATCTTGGACATCTTACAGTTGTTGTCGTCCTCCACTTCAGCAAGGGCCAAGGAACAATACCAAGGGCATCTATACCGGCAATCGCGGCAGCCTCGTGTATCGCAGCAATCTTCCGAGCATACCTCAGCCGTGGATCTGTCCAGTACCTAGGCTGTGAGGCGGTCTGGTACTGCACTGTTGCCATTTTAGCTCTCGTACGAGCTCGTCAGATCGAGGCATTGACTTGTGACGCCGACGCCGACATTGGCACGCTCAGGCTTGCTCTGAGAGAGCTGTCCAGATGGTCTCTTACTGGCAGGATGTTCAACCTCGGCCTTGAGAGATTATTGAAAGAGGAACCTTTCCCGTCTGGATGTAGCTCTCCCGCGCATCATGATATCAGGGATTTCTCCAGAAGACCCGGCCAGAGTGCTAGGACCGACGAGACACGATGGATGGATTATTTCCCCAACATCACCGCCCAAACGAGTCCGCTGATTGCTGGTCTAATCCTCAATGACTGCATAAGTGTGCCATTCCCACGGGTGGAGTGGCCTGATGACGTGACAATGCACCAAGACCTCTTTAGGGACATAGATGGCTGGAGCAGGTAGAACAAGAGGTTCCGGATGGGGCTGGGCCCAACCCTCGGTGTCCTGCATTCCTGGTGAAGGGACCGCTCCAAGTTTACAGCTCTCGGGTTACCCTCATGGGGGAAAGGTTCAGGTTGCGTTGCTGTGACTACTTGCCAGTCCTTCTGACGACTGCCCAGCTAAGCGCGAGGCGCGAGAAGTGCATCCTCCAGTGATAAGGGACGCCGTGGCTTGTCCTTTCTCTCACACATCCAAGATCCAGATAGTTGATCGTGGAAACTTGCTCGAAGGCCGATGCGAAAGAAGAGGTTCTCGACCAGCCAATCAGCCTATCAGCCCATCAGTCAATCACAGCGCCCCCCAAGGGCCCATCGGGATGAGGTGGGACGGTGGGGATACATTGGCGAATAAGCGGATGCCCAAAACTTGCTCACTCGGGGGCATCTCTTGGCATTCCCATGTCGATTGCCAGCGCAAAGGGCGTCGGTTCTGGCCAGCAGAAGAACGAGCCAACTCGCCGACACAGGTGGTTCCACGAGCTGGGTGGCACTCTTTCTTGGCTTCCACCACGCCACTGATGACGGGCGACCCTCGGCGACATGCGGAGCGTTCCTCTGAGAATTCTTCCAGGGCCGTGACTGAGTCGGTCAACGGCGACCGCACAGAGTTTCCCCAGCCGAGAAAGGAAGACCAGCGCTCATACCACCTACTGTACTAGACATGCCGTCTATCTTGGTGATAAAATGATCAGTTCGTCCACGCTGCAGCACCTCCAGCCTTTCTTCACCTCTCCTTTGCCTGCCTGCTCACAGTTTTTGCTGACCTTTCCAGCACGACCCTTCCCAAGATGGATATGTCTTCAATGTCGGGCATGTCAATGTCCCCCACGGCCTCAACCTCCATGACGGGGACTGCCACCATGTCTATGGCCGCAGCATCTTCGTCAGCTTCGGGCATGGACATGGGAGGCATGGGCATGGGCAATACCTGCAAAATCTCAATGACCTGGAACTGGTATACCGTTGGCGCTTGTAAGTTGGACTCTGGTGGTGCTGAGAAGTCGCGTCGGCCTTGAAATTGACATCTCCAGGCTTCATTTCCGATTCATGGCAAATCACTTCCGGCGGCATGTTTGCCGGCTCCTGCATCGGCGTGATCTGCCTCGTCATCTCTCTCGAATTCCTGCGACGAGGCCAGCGCGAGTATGACGGTTGGCTCGCGCGCAAGGACAAGAATATGCTCGCTGCCTACAACGCACGACACGACTTGGACGCCAGCTCAGGTTCATCTGTCCAAAACTCGAACGGAAAGGGACCGACTGGGAGCGCGCTGCCCGCTGCAACCCCCGTCTCTGCTCCTCCTCGGGTCGACCGGATGACGCTCTTGCAACGACAAGTGCTCCGTTCTTTGCTCCACGCGGTGCAATTCGGCGTCGCCTACTTTATCATGTTGCTCGCTATGTACTACAACGGTATGAGTTCATTGCGGAATGGAGGATTGCTGAAATCCCACTGACAATTGTTCGCGAAAGGCTACATTATCATCTGCATTATCATTGGAGCCTTCCTGGGAGCTTTCATCTTCACCTGGGATCAACTCCTAAACGAAGCCAAGTGAGTACCATCTTAACCATCTTATATGCAGAAACTCTAACTAGATGCTTTTCAAACTCGGCAGGAAAAAACCCGAGGCGGCCGACATTACAGGCTGTTGTGGCTAGGTATAAGATTTTTTGTGTTCGGCGAAACCAGATGGTGCTTGTCGGGTTAAGGAAGTGATATGAAAGCACCGAATAGGGAAGCCCTGGGCGCGCTGGAGGTAGCATACTCCTTCCACTGTCAGGGCAGACCCGTCACTCAACCAATTCCTAATTGTGAATAGTATAACTTGCTATTCACTTTTATGAAAATCCTGAACTGTTCTTGGTGAAAGATGACCAAATGCATACGGCACTAAAGAGCTGGATGAAAAGAGGGAGAGGGTGTTGCTCACTGGACGCAATTGTGTAGTTTCATGGAATTCTGGTTTATTGATCGCCTCTCAGAATCTGCCTCGGCGTCCCCAGGAGAACCAAAAGGCTTAGAAGTCCAGGAAGAGGCCACGGGCGAGCACATTGGGACCCTCAGTGCTGTTGTCATTCAACGGGGCGCACGGTAGCGGATTCAAAAGACTGGAAGTAGTGGTCCATCCATAATGGCTTCGTGTGTGGATAACTATATATATATATATATATTGGCGGCGTGTCAACAACACATTGAATGATGCTCGAAAAGACAGGATATTCTGCTACGAAATAGCAAAGATCTGCGCATGTTTAATAGTTTCCTTGCTATGGTCGGCAGTTATAGACAGTTTATAGCAACATTGAGTCATTGTCATTCAGGCGAGGGGTTCTGAGAAACGAGACGAAACCTTCTGTCACTTGATGGCTTTACACCGCAAGAAGCCAAGCAATGGTTTTGATGCTGGTTGCTCACGTTGTCGTTGGTCGTGTCTCTGAGATCAGGTTTCATTTTCAATCTCGCTATACCCATGAGAAATATTCGAGATGCAAATACGTCCATGTATAACTCCGGTCACTAGCGTGATCCAGTTTGCCTTGCTTGCGCTCGCGCTGCATTATGTAAGTATAATGAGGATTCGTCATATCGGCGAGTGTATAAGAGGAATGGTATATACGCCAGAGCCAACCAGCCTGATCTGGTTCCCAATGGCGGTGAGTTGCCCCATATCGGAAGCCCAGGTTCGCGTGACAAAGCAAGCAGTTGAGTGAGGGCGTAGCCGATGATGAAGACACCAATGGTAGACATGAAAATGCCACCGTCGGCAGCGCAAACGCCCAGTCGGCAACATACCTGGCGCGGCTGTCCGTCCAGTCTCTTCGTGTCTACTTGGCATCTCTTGGAAGGTATCAGCTCACCAATTATGGAAATGTTCTTTGTAGTATCGGCATCGGTCAAGTGTTCATCCTTGGCAGTCGCATGCCCGGCTGGAATGAAAATATAACCCGAGCGATATAAGGTGTTTTGGAGGCAGCTCGAGTAGAGAATTAAGACAACATAAATGATGGCTGTGTTCAAGCCGCATTAGACAGCTTCCGCAGGGGATTTTTTGAGGCATTCTTCTGCAACACTGCACCATCCAGCGAGTGTCAAATTGGGACTCAATCATGGGACCCGTCCCACGCACGACGAATCCAGCCGTGGAGAAGAGCGGTTATACCGTCTGGGAACATGCTCAACTGGAGACCATCTCCACTTCCAACCAGGGACTTGTAGTCATGGCCAATGAGATACGTAGTCCACATTGTGTTGAGGAAGTTTTGAGTGTTGCAAGAAATCAAAATCGCCGTGACCACAAGCTGTGACAATGTGGCCGACAGGGCTCGCCGCCGCATTGTCTTGTGGTGTTGCATCTTAAGCCTGCCAAATCATTGTCTTCGTCCCAATTCTTCGAATCGTTGGCCATAGATATGTCAATGATGAGCTCAACAGGCTCGATGTTGATGCCGGCATCCAGCACAATTTCAGGCATGTCTATGGCCAGCGCAACCAGTTCTTCGATGCCAATGTCGTCTACCACAATGATGGGCATGGACGACATGAGAATGACATTCTTCTTTTCCTCAACCACGCCGCCTTTCTCCACGAATTGGACGCCAAACACCACAGGCCAGTACGCAGGCACATGCATCTTCTTGATTGCTTTTGCGGCAGTCTTTCGAGCACTGCTAGCCGTCCGAGTAAATTTCTCCTTGCTGATGACTGCCGTCGACATGCATCGCAACAGGGGTGTGTATGAGCCATACCAGAATGAAAAGGCGCCTCAGCATTCCTGGCGAGCAAAGGATGCAATTTTGACAGGCTTCATGGATCTCGTGCTCGCGGCGGTGGCATACCTACTGTGAGTACTAGTATCGAAGAGACTGATGACAGACATGCTGACAGTACTTAGAATGATTGCGGTGATGACCATGAATGTTGGATATTTCCTGAGTGTATTGGCAGGTGTCTTCGTTGGCAGTGTGATGTTTGGACGATTCATTGCCAATGCTGCAGCACATTAAGCAGGGTTTCTCGGGCTTGGAACAACACGTGACTCGATCTCTCTGTCGGTGTGCGGGAGCTTATGGCGGTCAATAACCCCTTTTCTGCTGCCAGTATGGATGCGAGGTGGCTCTGAAATCGCCATAACCCCGAACTGGAATACTGTCGGCGCTTGTGAGTTGAAGACCACCGCAGGCTGCAAATATCAAACCCGAGCAAACTCTTCTGCCCTTCTATCTCCCATGTCCAAGATAGTTAGCGGTGCCTTCCTAATTCAGCGTCCTGCAGAAGTCCGGAGTACATACAAGTAGAACAGGTAGAGGGTCTGGCTGGTGCTTGCTAGTGGCACCTAAAAGTTGTTCACGCGGCTCACCTCCCTTTCGCAATTGCACTCGGCTTGCATAAATAGTGTGATCTCTTGCGAGACTTGCCTTACAAGTACATACCTGTGGACAAACATGCCGTCCTGAACCACGTCTGGTGCGTCCGAAACTTAAGTCGCTGAATATGGCAAAAATATAGCTACGAGACCACAAGGCGTTGAGGCACGAGATTCGACAGCCGCCCCTCCCCCCGGGCATTGCGGGAGGGGGGGAGCAATGGTATATTGCAAAATCCAAGTCGACAGCGTACTTGTTAGGCAACAAGGTAAAAGACCCTAATGACTATCAGGAGATAGTCGACCCACCCCCATATCAAGGCTGACTGGACGCATGATAGGCTTTACTGTGTCTCCCAACTCTAAAAACGTGGCCTTAAAAGAGGCGCCAGACTTACTGTCGCAGCACTGCAGACATCGGACTACTCGTATCACGCGGCTGGCAGGTAGGTATCGCCCCCGCAAACAGCAACAAAATCGAGTATCTACCACTTATAAGATGTGTGCCTGGCAAACTGCTCACCCTAACTTTCCCGATAGTTTGCGATGTATGTGTAACCCTCAAGCAACTAAGAACACCGATTTGAACGGGATCATTCCTCTATGAGTTTCGCTCGCACCTGTCGATGGCTGGCCTGGACATTTTAGGACCACTGCAGGATATTTGCAACATTACAGTTGCAATCCACAACGGAATTGAGAGCCACATGGTCGGAAAATCAGATCTTCGCTTTCAGCTCTCGAGATATCAGACGTACAGTGAAACCGAAGAGATGGAATTAATTGACGAGGCCATAAATCACCCATCTTCGCTATCCTGTTTCCTTACGGGCAAAAGACTCTTTGCACTACACACAGCTATCTTCGAATGGCTCGGAGCTAACGGGTTCAAATTAAACGTTAAGGGCCGTGTGGATAAAACTAAAACTCTTCACTGCTTTTTAGCTAAAAGAGCGAGCTCTTTGAAAGAACATGTTGACCATTTATCGGACGTGAGAGACCGGTTGTGCGACGAGTTGCGCAAGGTTGGCCGCGTTTATCCTCCATTTATCGGTTCTAAGGAACTAAACAGATAACCAGGGAGACTCGAAGGTTTCGCAAGGCCAAGATTAAGCCTCTCCTCCCAACTTGAATGGGCCCGCTCCTGGATTTCTAAATTAACCCTACAGTAAGCAAGACGGTGATCTCAAAAGTCAAAGCAGGAGAGATAGTGAGCCCTTCATGTGCATTGGCAAATGAATACAAACTGACTGTGCTCCATTTAAGTTCTTCGGCTGTCGGAGCGGATTGAGAAGACAAGAAAACAGATCGACCGAAGGCCTGAGAAACCATGTGCGTGTGAGAGATGGTTTTATGAAGGCAAATACAGCCCTTACGCGGTATGGTATGATTGTGCGCAACGGCGCGAGAAAGCGGAATTATTTCGCCACGATATGCTACGTAGTCAAGCGGAGGATACACTTCATTGCGGAAGACAGTGTCCATTGTGTTCATACGGTTTGGCATGCGGAAGTCGTCAGACCATACCAGCGGAAACATGTTCTCAAAAAAAGAAAGAGAGCCAACTTCTAGGCTGGAATTAGTCGAGAGAGTGGCCATCAAGGAAAAGAAAAAAAACAGAAACAAGTCTGCATGTGAAAAGGTCAAGATACGGATAGTCCTATTAATATCGTCCAAAGTTAACCGAAGTGGGTATTTAGGAATGAAAAGGAAGAGGAAGAGGAAGTGCAAGGCTCAGTAAGCATACTTGGAGCGGAAGGTGAGCCGAGGGTGACTAAAGCGGCGAGTGGCTCAGTCACAAGACGAAGACCGATGACAGGTTTTTTTATTCACCACTACAATACCACAGGTTGCAACCCGATGGGCCTTCTCGTCACCCCGTACAGTGTGCCGGGTACTGTACGCTCCTCAGCCTTGTTTCTGGACCCCCTACCATGATTAGATACTCACTTTATCGTTTACATATTTACAAGCGTCTATCCTTGAGGCAAGCGAGAACTTTACACAACTACCTACGACAGTGCAGTTTAGGAAACTCAAGGCGTTAACCTGGGAACCGGGAGCTCATGTTACCCTGCAAATGATCTCTTTGCTCGTTCTCCTTTGGTTTTCGAGCGGGACTCCAATTTGTTGGGCAGCTTTCACTTGACCGGCTGGGCAGCTGAATCTCTGGAGTTTCACAATGCAAATAGGCCCTGGCTAGAATCGAGTGCACACTGCCTCGTGACCGCACTGCTGCTACCAGTATCTGCACGACCCAGCCTTTCAGAGCTGTCCGGCCAAGATCACCGGACTTGTCATTGGCTACCATGCTTCAGCCTTGACGCTCGGCGCTGTACGCAAGGCGACCACTCGTGACTGTGGCAGACACTGGTTGCCCGAAAGATTGGCATATTTTTCCTGTCTCCCCTCGCTTTAACCAAGATTCAACAAGTTCTGCTCGTGTTCATTCAGCTGGGAGCACAGATGCCAGGCAGCTGAGAGCAAGCCAAGAAAGCCAAGCAATGAATTTTTCTTGGGTTTCCAGCCTTATACGACGCGGAACTGACTTCAGATCACAATTCCAGCCAACTCAATCAACATTTCGCGGGGGACATTGACGATTCTGGTGTGAAACTTTCATGTTGTGTCACAACGGAGGGATCTTTTGAAACCTTTGAGCTCCCCATGGGCTTTTCGCTCGGCATTAGGGGCAATTTTTCGTTCCCCTGTGTTGCTGTCCGTCTAGGTCTCAGCCAGCCACGAGAGCATGATCGTTTCTCTGAATGCACAAGAGTTTCAGCTGAACCATGGAGGAGGTGATCGCTGTGCGTACCCGATCGGTTAAAAGGACTGGTATTCCCACTGACCTGTCTTTCAATCTTTCACTTTTTCTTTCTTCTATCAAGACAACATACTCCCTAGTCTGATATAGTACTCACCTCACCACGGGCCAACTTGATATCCAACATGTCTGAGGAAAAGCCCAAGGAATTCAATCTGCACGTTTGCACCGCTCGCATCCCACATGATGCACCATCGTCAAATACGCTACCCACAGAGGGCGGGCCAGACCGGCTTGCCATGCCCACGGAGACATTCTGGCGAAATGGGAAAAAGCTTCGCGTCAAGCTTCTCCCTGGCGCCAGCAAGAAGATCCAGGACAAGGTCAAATATTACGCTCAGCAGTGGGAGCAGTATGCAAACATTGACTTCAGGTTCGTTGACGATGATGATGCCGAAATCCGGGTTGCTTTCAAACAGGGTGATGGATCTTGGTCCGGCATTGGCACGGGAATTTTGAACAAGAATTGGTTCCCACCGGGGAAGCCAACCATGAACTTCGGTTGGTTCACCGACGAGACCCGGGATACAGAGTTCTCCCGAGTGGTGATCCACGAGTTTGGCCACGCCCTGGGTTGTATCCACGAGCATCAAAACCCCAACGTGACGCTCAATTGGGACAAAAACGAGGTGTATGAATACTTCAGGGGACCGCCAAACAACTGGTCGGATGCCGAGATCGAGACCAACATCTTCAAGAAGTACGTAGCGGCCACCACCAAAGCTACGGCCTTTGATGAAAAGTCCATCATGCTCTACATGTTTGACGGTGCCTTGTTTACCGACAAAAAGGGCACACCGAACAATGTGGTCCTCTCGAGCATGGACAAGCAGTTTATCGGCAAGATGTATCCGTTCCAGCTGCGTTCGTCCGGCTCTTGGAGCACGACAGAGCAGAGGGAATGGTTCCCACCAGCAGCCCTCAACTCCAAACAAATCGTTTTCGACAGTCCATATGCGACCGCGCCAAAGATTGCCGTCGGCCTCAACGAGCTCGAAGTTGGCGAGGCCGCCAATCTGAGGGTGAAGGTTTCAACGAGTCCGCCTACCACGGACGGCTTCGTCGTGAATGTGGATGCATGGGGAGATACCGCGCTTTATTCTGGCGGGGCAACATGGGTGGAGTTTGAGGACAGTGATACCGATTATCGAAGTGAGTATATCGAACATGGACCGTGTCGTACCGAGTGCTAACCCAACAAAAGCTGATATCTATAGCGTCAGCGAGCAGTCGAGTACGAATACCGAACACATCACATTCGACCCTCCATATGAAGAAGACCCAGAGGTCGTGGTTTGGCTGTCCGGATTGGAGATGAGCAAAGACCGCAATACCCGCGTCAAAGCCTATGCCGACAATGTCACCAAGGATGGCTTCGACATCCACATCGACACTTGGGCCGACAGCATTCTGGAGAACGCCAAGGCCACTTGGATGGCGTATCCGAAGTCCAAGGAGGGTGTGACCAGTGGTGTGGACGACACCGACAACTATCGCACCTGGTCCCCAGCCCAGGCCGAGAATGGGCGCAAGGTCTCGTTCGGCGCTGACTTTGACAGACCACCGAAAGTCTACCTCGCCGTGAACAGGCTGGACTTCGACAATGCCACAAACGTCCGATTCAAGGCCACCGCCACCAAAGTGAATGAAAACGGGTTCCAGTGGAATTTCAACTCGTGGGCTGATACTTTGTGCTATGGTGCTGGCGTTAGTTGGATTGCTTTTGGCTGATCATTCGCTAGCAAATGGTTCTAATGAACAGCTCCGTCAGATTGCCAAGAGGGCCTTGTCGTACATCCGTGGGCTTGTTATTAAGGTAGTAGTGGTGAGGGAATCGTCTAGTCTAGTACCGAATCCAAGTGACACAGCATTCATAATTACCACTCTCTTTTCCAGTTTGCTCGCCGGACTGTGTCCACGTGCCTGGTCTCGGTGAACAATGTACTTGCAGGTTACAGCGGCTCGAAGGAGCCTCGCCACCGTGTAATTGTCTTTATGGGCATCCGTAGTTCATATCGGCCATTCCACCCAGACTTTGTGCCCATTCGGTCCAGAAAGATGAAGTCTCGAAGTCATACCCTTCGGGCATGAAACTCAGACCATTTACGCTGAGTGACTGTATATCTTGGTTCAGGAGCGGATCAGACGGTGCAACTGAGGAGGAACCTGCGCCATTTGCAAAATTGAGTACTGTGCTCGGAGACTGATTGCTAACAGCTGCCGGCGTTGTTGCGATCGTAGAATTCGGATGCCTCAGGCTTGCAGCATGGCGGCAATGATCTTTTGCTCGTGCAAGAGTTTCCGTGATTATGGCAATGGCTTTCCGGGTGACGACCGTTTCTTCCACCGCGTCAAGAACAACAATGGCTTGATTCACATGGGCCAAAATCAAATCCGGGTCGACACAGCAAAGAGGGTGAAACACTCCAATAAACAGGATTGTGACAGCGAAAAGGATATATGTCGAATTGTAAGACCTAGATTGGAAGTCAGCCGGAATCCACAAGTCAGGGAAGCAAGCACAGCTACCATGTCTGGAAGAAGTTGTATTTGAGAAAGGTTTCGTGGATGATTTGAATGGTCCTCATTGCCGAGTTTATGCAGAGCTGCCAATGTTCTTGCGCATTGGCCCTGAGATCCTTTTCCGGAACGGCGCCTATGACTGAACTATGTATCACCATACGAAGATTGTGATAACCTGGTCACGAAAGGTCAGCACAAAACATTATTGAAGCGAGGTTCTCAGGACGAACGCAGCCAAGTGACGATTCTTTGCTTTTCCTCGCAGCTCACGGACAAAGTCGACTTCAATGCACGAGCGACCCCGTCGCTAGTCTCCTGATATCGTGGCGGTAATCCTGCTAGCCACTCTTCAAGCTCACGTGCAAGATCGACGACCTTCTGAAGTCTGATAGGCAGAGGGTATTGAGTCGCGTAAAGTTCGGATCCGACGCGTCGCATGACTCGCGAAAACGCTACCATAGCCGGAAGTATTTGAATGCTTGCGTCTCCGTCGATTTCGGCGTCTTGTGAGGCACTGTTTGATGATCCAGGGATCCAACAAGTATGAAAAGCATCTGGGCCTAAGCCATCGGGTCTACCCAGAGCAAAGCTAGTCTGGCTAATCATTGTCAACGAGCGCATGGGACATTAAGGCCCGCGTTGCTAGCTTACACATCTAGACAATAAAGGGACCTAGATTCATAATCAGCGAGAGCATTACCGAACCAGTTTTAGACAACTTACCACCAAGTTTGGCTTGACTCTGTCGAGCATCTTTGAGCGGCGTTACCCGGAGCTGAAGATTCGCGGTTCAGCCCAATGCTCAGAGCTATTCGGATAGCCTGACCGGTGTACAAGTATGTGACTGTCAGCGTTAGCCTGGGAAGTACCTGGCGCAGGAACTCGAGCGTACTATGAGGATTCAGCTCGTGCTGGGCGATTTTGGCCTGGGAACTGTGTCAGTGACTACGCCGTGACTTTCCCGGATACATTACCATCATGTAATAGCATTGAACCATGTCCAAGTTCGTATAATGTCCAAGGCGCAACATAGCCTCACATGCCTCTCTGAATAATATTCGGCTCCATTCAAAATGCTCTAAGCCATGGAACTTCCCTGATTTCGGATGGGCAAGGAGTGCCCCGAGCGAAAGAACGCTATAGTACAGCGCAATAAATGTGGATGGGTAGGTGACCTGGTGACCGAACCACAACTCCTCACAACGAGTCATGAATCTCTCTTGGTCGAGGGCAGGTTGTATGAGATGGAGATTATCAAAGTAGGCATCGATGAACTTTCTGGACACTCGAAAGTAGAGGCGTTCCCGAGTAAAAGTCTCTGAGTCGGTATGAGTAAGAGCTCCTTCAGCAGGTGTAAGGGGAAATGTGCTGTTATGGAGAAGAGAAGCAAAAAACGTTCTAGATGTTTGTTCAGCATAGTATTCAGACCGTTCCTCTGACAACCCGGGGATTTTGCGAAGGAACGCGATTGGCGAAGAAGGGCCGTAGTATTCCCAACCCTGCGTATGCACATTGAGATCTGCTGCATCCGGGGTGGAAGAGTCCTCCCGTGCGGTCATGGTCTGCACGAGTTGACTCCTAGATTCGTCGCTAGCTAGACCGACCACAGCTGGGTTTGTGGGCCTGCTGTTCTTTGAGGCGAGACTGCATTGGGGTCGGGAAGCTCCAGTCAAAAGGACGGGACCACCGACTAGGTCCTCCGCCGGCGATACTTGTAGTGGATCATTGCCCTGCTTGGAACAAGACAAAGCGTCTTCGGCTTGTTTCAATTTGAATGTTAGCTCTTGTATCCTCTTCTCCAAGGTCTCAACTGTCCTGAAAACCCTTCATGTAAGCTTCACATTCGGGCAGCAGATCTGGGAGAGCGGGAGGCCCACTTTGACTCTTGGGACGACACTGCTCTGGAATAGACGCATTCAACATCGTGAGCTTCCAGAGGTATCAGCGGCCAATGGTACCATGAAGGGTCTTGGATGGCTGACCGACACAAAAGGAACATGGCATCTCCTCGTTGCACCGGTTCTTACGGGCACGGCAGAATTGGCAAGCTTGCAGCGCCCTGGGTCGCTTGCGCGGTCTTGTGGGATTCAGGACTTGGGCCATGGTGGAATTGTAGATGGACGACTTTGGAGCGCAATGAGTCGGGCCCGCGTTAGTATTGGGAAGAGGTAGTTGCTCGGTTGGAGGGTGCAAAAGAATAATAAAGGGCGAGGTGATGAGTTGATGGCAATTGCCAATCTGATACTTTCACCCACGTCTTACGGTGCTTGGCCGAAACTGGTCTAAATACCTTAGTCAGTTGGCCTCCCCAGCCAACGCAGCCGGTAAGTGACCGGCGCAGGCGCAGGCACAGGCACAGGCTGAATTGAATCCGTCGTCTGCCCTTTTTCAGCCAAGCATACCCGGTACTTGTTACAAGTCCACTGCTTTCTCAACAACCACATGCCACAATTCGACCCTTTCAAAGTCGCTCGGTACCTCGTACGGCAGCCTGAAACGTGGATTGTATAGGTGCCCCCAACGACAAGAATTTCAACAACGCATCCCAAGATGTCGACGGCCTTCGCCAGAGTTATTCATAGGTCGTGTAACCCGTGTCCTTCCTCACGCACTTGGAGCCTTGAAGAATGAAAGAAAAAGGTCTGAGACCATGTGAAGATGCCTGGGCTTTTTAGGGGAAGGAGGGGACACCTACATACCCTCGCCACTTCGGTTCAACAGGCGAGTGACGAGATGCGCGACATGCGAGATGCGAAGGCTAGCAAGGCCTAATTCCACTCAGCGAAGGGGCCCCAGCTTGCCCGAACGAGGAACTGTAGCCGCTATTAAGCTTCCCAGTCAGGCCAGTGTCGCTCTTGTTCTCAGCTGGTCTCTCCTTGAGTGCGAGTCTCGGCCCCTAATAGGCCTTTTCACACCCCATTGCGACGTCTTGGTACTTGCGTGCCTCGTACTTCTCACTGGCCAGTATTCAACGACAAGAGCCACGCCCCTCTGTCCCTCCGCGAGAAGGAAAACTCTATAACTCGTTCCTCGTGCCCATGCCACGCACACTTATACCGCTCGAGCCAGAAGACATGCGCGACCCAAGGTCGCGACGCCGTCCTCTGTTACTGCAATCGAACTTCCTACAATCGTTCAAAGAAGCCATTCAGATAATGCCTTCTACCCTCCTCCAATGGAGAAACCACCTCTTCAGCCAATCTCAGAATCGCTGCCGGAGTCCTTGAACTTCAGCAACACTCTGCCTTCGCCAAGTAGCAGTCGATCCAACCCCAAGTTCGGACCTCCTCGATTACGGCAGCCATGGCGGCATTCAGTCTCGACAGAAGGGTTTGGCCTGATTTCACGGACGATTCGAGAGTTCAAACCTGATCGTCAACGTCGCCGACTGTTCACTGTAGGCATCTGGCAATGGTTCATCACCTCTTTGCTCTGTGGCCTGTTGGCTGCATGCCTCGGAGCCTTCGGAAACCTCTTGTGGATGACAGTAACACAAGTCAAAGCCTTCAACGCCCTCATCGTGCTTCTTTCTCTCTTTCTCGGGAACAATCTGACAAGCTCATTGCGAGAATACGCAACTATGATGCGGTGGAGAATGCTGGCTTCGAAGTACCGCTCTCTGCATGAGTTCGATTTGTTGATGCGTTGCGACAGTCTACGGAAGGTCGCACGGTTGTTTTGGGCAGCAAGGACTCCAGGAAGAGTGTGGTTCTGGCTGAACTCAACACAGTGGCTTTGTGCTTTGTGGCTGGGAGTCAACGTCCTCCTGCAGATTCTTGTGGCCCTGCTGGGTTTGACGTATAACCTCGACACCTCCAGTATTCCCGAACGCCAATTTGGAACGATGAGCATTGCCGATTTGAATGTCATCCGTGACGTCTGGGGGGCAGAAAATCCGTCTTTTGACGCGCAGTTGGGCTCTGCAAACTACTTCGGCATTCAAGGCCAGGACTATCTCTTCGTCGAGGGTAGTCCCCCTGGGCAAGGGAAAGTTCCGAGCTACGGAACACCTGGCACGCCTACTATCTACGCCGACCAACAATGGGACGTAATGACATATGTGTTTCAAGACCAGAATATCCAAAACCCCCAACTCACCTTGGTTTCTTACCGCAATATCAGTGCAACGGCCACCTGCAAAGAATTCAAAGTTGTTGAAGGCGGCAATGGAACCAGTACGTTCGTTACCTACCTTGACGAAACTGGAGAGCAAACCACCCTCGATGTCGTCCGTGTTGGACCGGGAGCAATGACGTATATCGGTGTGCTCAACTCTACCTGTGGGCCACGCTGCACGGAGGTGTTTGCGTTGCAAAGCGCTAACGGCAACACGATCCCTAAATCAGCGTTCTTCAAGTGCCAAAGTAAAATTTCAGAAGTGCGAGGGGTTGAAGAATATCTTTACAACGGAGAGCCAGCGGAGTCATTCGAGATGCCCGAGCCGCAAGCGAGGATCATTGCAGGTTCCATCGGATGGTCGGGCTTCAACTATACGCCAGGTGACATGTATCAGTATGTCCGATACAACACGGAAACTTGGTGGAGCCCCAATGGCCCTGCAGATGCGGGTATGATATCTCAGCGAATTATGGAATTCGGCATTGAAGCTGTGGCAGCGATTGACTACAACGGACCAAGACGCAACGTGCCAGGCTGGTATGCTATTCCAGCGCAAGTGGTGCGTGTGGAATGGCGCTGGTCGGCTTCAATCTTGGGACTGATACCATTCTTCCAACTGGTGGCGTTGATCTGTGTCATAGCCTGGGCCAACTCCGCCATTATTCGGGATGACAGTTTCTTGAGCACCGCCCAACTGCTACGGCCTATTGTCGAGAAACTCGGCGACAGGGGCTGTTTGCTGACCGGCCAGGAAATCGCGGAGGAGTTGGCGGAGCTGAGGGTAAAATATGGGTGGAGAGAGCCAGGTCCCGATTTCGTCTTTCGAAATGAGATTGACGGCGATGTCGTCAGGCATGTTGACATCCTGGAGGAGGGCGAAGGATTTGGCAAACAAGGTCCCATGCCAGCTGGACGCTATGATGGACTTGAACCCAAAACGCAATACAGGCCGGAGGCGACGACGGATCCGCTACGGCAAAGGAAGCGCGGGAGACGATCCATGAGCTTATGAAATTTGCACGCCATATCTTGTATCCTGGTGTACGAAGCTCTAAACAAAGATTTTCGATGACTTCTCCCTCGCTGTTTGATCCTATATTTGTAGACACCCCCACCCATCATCGCTCCGTTTAAGTGTCCATTATCTTCCAGCACCATGTCGCATGCCGTCGGTAAACTCTGTGTCGCAGTTTAGTGGGCCATGCAAGATCATCCGATGCGAAGCGCGCACCAGCCCCTCCCCGAACTGATTGAATGGAGTGAGGCACCGAGCGTAGAGCTGCTGCAGGTGGAAAGACGTCATCATTCCTTGCTTTTCACATCCCACCTATATCGATGACCGTCATTATGTTCGCAACTCTCCCACTTTTTGATACCGCTCCATATCTATCTACCTACTATCCAAATACATACGAAAACAAGATCAGACTGTGTAGGAGTTGGGAGCCAACCGGTCAATTCACAGGTACCATGCTGATGAGAACCGTCTCCGCAGCCCACACAGTTCTCATCCTGGGTTGTTAAGTTGGTTGTCGCTTCCAATGATGCCTCGGGTGTGACTTTTTGGGTGTCTTCTATATATATATATATACTTTGGGAAAAGAAAAAAACATAGACGGACGGAACGCCTCCTCCTCCCCTCTCTGCTTCCCTCTCTTCGTTAGGGCCCGCATAGGGGGTCGAGTCGTCGCGAGACTCTACCCAATACCCTCTTTGTTTTCCCCCCTTCAATCGGTCGGGTGCAACAAGATGGGAGAGTTCAGTCTGAGGAAGATCATGGACAAGCAGACCCAGGTGGTCATGTTCAGTTCCACGGCCATTGCTTTGTACGGCTATGATCAAGGTAAGAGGAAGCAGCAGAAGGAAATTCCCCTGAATCGCTTTCATCTGCGAGATCGTGCTGCTCTGTGGACTCTCATTCGCGTTGTGGTGGATCATTGTTTGAAGTGGTTGTCGTCGTGTCGTTTCGCCGAAACGACTTGCTTCCTTAAGTTGCCAGATACAACTCTTTTTTTCTTTCTTTCGCTGTGCAGATGTTTCTGGGACAACATAAAAGCCAACTGATCTCACTCCTAGGCATGATGTCCCTCATCAACACAAATTTCAACTACCTCTACACCATGGGCACTGCTGGAAATTCGGCTTTGGTAGGACTGGTCGTCTCGGTCTACTACCTGGGCTGTGCATTGGGAGCGGTGCTAGCATCCCGCTTTGCAGACGCCAAAGGTCGCAAGCCGGGCATCTTCGTGTGCTTGGTGACAGCCAGCCTGGGAAATCTGCTAATGTTCGTTGCGGGCAGCGGGCATGGGACAGATGGGTCAGAAGGGAGCCCTGGTAACGATGATAGGAGGTAGGGTTGTCATGGGTCTCGGAGTCGGTAGGTTTGCGTTCTCGAAGTTATTTCACGTCCACGTCTTTTGACCGCGGCCTATTACATAGGAGGGATCGATGCGGTCGTGCCCGTGTACAGCTCTGAGCTCCAGGAAGACGATGCCCGCGGCACGGCCCTGGCCCAGGAATTCCAAGCCAACATCTTTGGGCTGAACATGGCGTATATCCTCAACGTTGGGGTCACGCATTCCCTGGGCAAATGGAACCAGTGGGCGTGGCGAGTGCCCATTATCGTGATGCAAATCTATCCGGCCCTGCTCTTCGCAGTGGCCAATCTCTTGCCGGAGACGCCCAGGTGGTGCGTGTTGCACGGTGACAACGAGCGGGCAAAGCGAAGTATAGCCCGGGTCTTCGGCAAAGACCAGGTCGAGGACCGCATCAAGGAGCTGACCGAGGCGCATAAAAAGGAACAAGAGGAAGGTCGGATCTCGTACTCGGACATGCTTTGGCCGGGCGGTTCGCAGTTTCATCCGACCGTCGTGACGGTCATGGGCCAGGTCAACCAGGCGCTGACTGGGTACGGGGCGGTGTCGGTGTTCGGGGCGCAGATATTCGAGCTGTTGGGATTCGATGTCACCACCGCCGAGTTCATCACCCTAGGGAACTATGTCTTCTATTCTGCCATGATGACGGTCGCTTGGGTGCTGATTGACCGCGTTGGACGACGCAAGCTGATGGTCTTCGGGGCGGTTTGGCTCGCCGTCTCCTTCGCCCTGCTCACGCTCCTGGGCGGCCTGGCGTATAATCACGCAAGATTGTCAATCCCTCTGCTGGCGACCGCAATTCCTGGCGTCTCCGCGCTATACCTCGCGACCGCTGTCTTCGGCATCAGCTGGCTGGTGCCCCCATGGCTCATCCCCACCGAGATCTATCCTTCGACGGCTCGCGCGCAGGGCGCCTCCGTCAGCGTCGTCGTCTGGGGCCTGGCCAACTGCGCCGTCACCTTTCTGACGCCCATCGGCTTTGAGGGTCTCGAATACTACCTGTTCCTGTTGTTGCCACCAATGCCTTTGCCGGACTGTGGACGTACTTGTATTGCCCAGAGTCTGGAAACAGAACGTTCGAAGAGAATCAGGAGTTCTTCAAGGCCGCTGCCGAGACGGACTCGTGGGTAGTGAGTCGAGTCGTGGACGGAGAGTTCAAGGTTTTGCCGCAAGCGGAAGTGGAGGAAGAAGAGGAGGTTCTCATTGATGGAGAGGGAAATGGGAGTCACGGGAAAAAGCGAACAGAAAGGAGGAAAACGCAGAAGACACTAGATGCCCATGAAGAGATGGCGCCTTTGCTGGGCAGGAGTAGTGCGCGGTAGGCCTATTCGCGCTGGGAAAAGGGCGTTCGTACAGGATGAGCAATGACCCAACACGTGGATATTCTGCGCGGCGGGCATATCAATTGCCTAGAGAACAACCCATTCGAGGGAACATCTAGTGAGTTGATAAGCGATACGATTGTATGTCCGCAATACCGGTATATCTCAAGTACATGAGCTCAGCATCCCCCGAGAACAGCGGGGAGCCATGGTTGCCAGTCCGACCAAATCTAGGATGAAACCACCTGACCCCGACCCGATCCCATATGCGTGTACGATATGCCTGTGTGATTCGACGAATGGCTGAATTGCAGGATTGTAGAGAGTTCAACCAGATCATCCAACCTCTTAAGACTTCTCAATCAGAGCCTCGAGTTCGGCGGCGATTTGCTTCAACTCGACCTTGAGCTCGGACGCCTTCTCGGAGAGATAGGACTCTGCATTGAACTGGCTGAAGGTGTAGCCACCATCACCGATGATTTCCGAGTAGTTGGACTTGCCACCACCATTCCAGGCGAGGATATTGGCAGTGTCAGCTGGGACATTGGAGAGGGCGCCCTCAGTAGCGATGGAGATCATGTTCGCCTTCATCTGCTTCGGGGTGATTTCGGCCACGGCGTAGGCGGAGTCACTGGATGGTTGAAGAGACAGGAAGTAGGCGAGGAGACCGCAGATGTGAGGTGAGGCCATCGAAGTACCAGAGATGATGTTGGTGGCGTACTTGCTGCCAATCCAGGTGGAGAGAATGTTGAGACCAGGAGCAAAGATATCGTTGCAGGTGCCGTAGTTGGAGAAGTAAGCACGTTCATCGGCCAAGGTGGAGGCACCGACAGTGATGGCCTTCTCAGCGGCAGCGGGGGAATAGTTGCAAGAGTCGGCATTGTCGTTTCCGGCAGCGACAGCAAAGTGAAGACCGGCATCCACGGCTGCGTTGACAGCAAGATCCAGGACTCTGGACTTGCCACCACCCAAGCTCATATTGGCAACGCTGCCCTTGAATCCCTTCTTCTTTCCCTTCTTCGCGGCGCTCACAGCTTCGGCATGAGAATTTGCAGCCCATTCGACGCCTTTGACAACATCTGACATGGTGCCGGAGCCGTTGGACTTGAGGACCTTGACGGCGTAGATGTTGGCTTTCTTTGCGACACCGAATTTCTTGCCTGCGATTGTGCCAGAGCAGTGTGTACCATGTCCATTACCATCCACATCTTCATCACCAATCGGGATTGTCTTGCCCCAGCTGGCGCGGCCCTCGAAGTCGACGTGCTCGATGTTGGTTCCAGTGTCAATGACGTAGGCGTCGACACCTTCACCAACATCTGCGGAGTAGAGGTATTTGTTAAAATTCCCAAAGCCCAAGGCTTCACGGTGGGAGATACGGGCAAGGCCCCAAGGAGCGTTCTTCTCAAGCGAGGGAGTGTGGTTCATGGTTCGGACCTCGGAGTCACGTTCGATGTATTCGACCTAAGCAATCGGGCACGTGAGCTTTGGGACAGGACACGACAGCGAAGGGGAGGAAACAATTGTAGAGACTTTTGACGGTGATCAAAGCACCGGACAGCCATTGTATCGATGCCGCAGGGTTGATCGTGGCTTATCTGAAAGCCCAAAGAGTTGAAACACTAGCAGGGGAAACTTACATCCGGGTGCCTTCGGACCAACTCGATGACGCCCTCATCGAAATGACCAGCATAGCCCAAAAGGCCGCCAGGAATGTTGTATGTGTGTCTCAATCCCTCAAAGATGGTCTCGTCTGACATGGGAACTTGGCTGCGTTTCCGGAGCTCGAGCTTGCGAGACTCGTGTGACACATGGGCCTCTTGGACCCAGGAGTGATGGGCGGTAGCATCCCGCTCGCTAACGTGCTTCTTGAAGATGACCATGTACGAGTCAGGAATCTCCTTTGCATTAGAAGAGGAGATGACAGGAGCAGCATCGTTATGGATGGTGTCGACTAGGATTGGCGAGCCTGCCGCCAGCAGTGGGAGGAGCGATAAGATTGCGTAACCCTTCATCATGGAGACTGGAGCGGCAGCGATGGGGAACTGAGGGATATGGAAGAGAAAAGGGACAACCAAAGTGCGAGCCTGGATGAATCAAGCTGCACAGGAGATGGAGAAAGTGAAAGAGTCAAAAGTGATGGGTGGATGGATGGGGAGGATGGTATCTTTAAAGAACCAAGAGCAGATGGGATAAGAAGATACAGGACGCAGGCACTCAGTAGATGATGCCACAGCCACAAGTGGACACATGACTGCTTGCCGCACTAACACCTAAGCCAGGCTGCAAGCTGTGCGGCTTCCGGCTAGACTCATGTTGCTCAGGCTTGTTGCCGGGGAGCGGCAGGGAGGACCAGTCGAGCCCCGAACTTCTGCCACCAGCTGCCAAGGCATTTTCGCCGGTTGCGGGCCCCCCGGTCGAGCCTGTACCCGCCTGTACTTATCCCCCAGTCCAGATTGGCTGCCTCTGCCCTTTTGCGCCCTGGCGCCTCGCCAATTCTCCACCCTCCTTGGCCTAACGCATCAGTGGGTATAATCTCCACACAGCCATGTCTCTCGATATCAGCCTTCCCATGTACATACCTCGTACATACTTCTTCAATACCACTCCTCGGTGGGAGGCACGAGAGTTTCATCAACGACGAATCTCCCCTGCGCCTTCTTCCAACACAGCAACAATTTCACTACATCATACGACTTTGTGAATCTCGCAGAAAAGCAACCTCTCTTCTCCGATATAAACGCAGAAGAAACCCCCCAGGTAATTAACTTTTACTTCTCTAAAACTCATTGCTAGTACATTAATAGCACCAAGTTGCTCCAAACCAACCCGATGTTCCTGAACCGAGACAACAGCCGAGACTCTTAATACGCTTTTAAATGCACTCTACGGATTATTGGTCTTGGGTCCATTCCTCGTTGTCGTGGCTCTTCTTCTGAAAGACAGGGAATTAGTTTGTTCGCATAAACAAGGTTCTCTGGTGACAATGGGGATTTTGAGCGGTTTTGCCGTCCTGGGAGGGGACTTCCTGATACAATCACTTCTGGACGAATCAAAGGTTATTACGGACGAAGAGGTACGCGAGTGGGTGAAGAGATCAACGAAAGTCCTTTGGACCTACACTTGTGGCTTCTTGTATACGCGGCTTTTTACTGAGGTCTATCAGGCCCAGTAAATTATCGTCACAAGAGGGACAATATTATTACGCCAAAGTCGGCCGGCTGCTGAAGATTGAGAACACTATTAGCCCGCAGATGTCACGAAATACAAATCCAGCAAACTGCCTATATGATATTCAGACTTGGTAACAACCCAGTGGAAGATCAACTGTGCGCAAGCATCTGAGGTGCTCGTCTCCAGCTAGGAGGCATCGAAATCTTGCCGATGTTCAGGGCTCGGGGGATGTGACGGAACGCCTCTCGAGGCTGAGGACTGAGCACGCTTCCAGGGAGGAAAATATGGGCCTTGTGATAAGTGGGAAGCACCGATTTCGCAGAATTCCAGGTGGTGGCGATTATCTGAGGCATCCAGTTGAGCTAATTGAGAATCGGTCGTCGCAGTTGGAACAAAGCTGAGAGGCTGTCCCCGGACAGAGCTATGCTTACCACATCTTCACCGCCCTGGCACTCTCTGATGGGCAGTTTCTCGGCAAGCCAGAACAGACCTTTCGCGTGGATACTGGCGCTGTGCTTATCTCCGCTCGTTGTGACTTCACGAAACAACGCTTTGACCTGATAGATCAGAGTCATGCTAGGCCGAGAATTCAGCGGCCAATCCCGCAGCGTCTTTCTGAGCTTTCCTCGTATTTTGGCTTTGAGCTCCAGAGAGACTCGATCGAGTTCACGTACACCCTCTGGCGGGACGAGGCGTCTCATCAACGGCAATATGCTTGCCACAGCAGACCAGAATGTTCCGACACCTGCATCAAAATGGTTCCAGATCCATTTTACCGCCATCTTGCCGATCGAGCTCCTGGTGCCGAGAATTGGACAATGTCGAAGGCTGACGTTCTCGAATGTGCCAGATAGGTTGGTGGCCAACATTGATTGTGACGGAACCGCACGAATGAGACTGCTTGATTCGCAATTGGCGTCATCGTGATCATCTAGCGGTTGAATAGGTTAGAGTTGCCGCAGAATCCGATAGGCAGGGAAAATAAGCTACGACCTGGCGCCGAAGTTCGACTCCTGCATGGATCGTCGTCCTATTTCTTCGCCTGCTGTCGTCGTTTCTGATGGACCTTCCTAGTTATGTGGGCCTTGCACGCGGCGTATTGAAGTTCTTGCGACACTCGATCTCCCGGAGAAGGTGTAAAATGCACAAACAGGTAGTCGGTCCTCTCCATCATTGTCGCCCAATGGACCACCCTGATCCGGAAAGGTTATGTCGAGGTGGACAATTTCATGTGGATGAAGAAGGTCCAAATCATACGCGCGAAGAAAAAGCCGACTGTGGCGATTTGGAGGGTTTGTGCCAGAGCGTAGCGTCCTCTGCCCGGACGAAATCAGTACTGGTGTACCTCGTACCGCGCCTTGCTTTCTTTCACAATTTTGTGTCCTCGGAAGGTTGGCATTGTCGATGGCTTGACGTTAAAGAGGATAACCCGGTCGACCCCGGACCATTCCTCTTTGGGTTATACCACTAATTCATCTCCAAGGTTGCTGAACTGAACTCCACGCGGTTTGTGTTCACCTACCTCGTCAACAATTTGTCGCCTCTCGGGCAAATTCAGGTCGACACGTTATGGCTAGTAAGTCGCTGCGGGGGCCCCAGCACGACCAAAGGAGCATGCAGCAAAAGATACAATCCAAGGTGCTAGGACGATCTCCGAGAACTCAAGTCCCCCCGTGCAAAGCTCACCTGGCATCGGGGTATAAAATGGAAGGATGATCTCCCAAATCCTGGATGACGGACGAACTCATTCGGGACAGCCACACCCAAAGAAAGTGGGCGACCTACAGTCATCGGAGACCGCATGAGCCTCAACCTTGTAGCTTCCGGCTAGACTAAACTGTTTGTTTTCCAGTGGGAGCCGAGCGCGGTGGGGAGACTGAATCAGGCTTGCTGGGCAAGTAATCAAAGCTGCGCCGGTGGTGACATGTCCAGCATGTCCCAGCATCGACGGGTTCAATGTATGTCAACGCATTCGAAGTCGCCATCCCTACTCCGTAAATCCCTGTGAAATATTAACCGGAGCCGTTGTAGCGAGCATGACATCTTGTCTCGAGGAGTGTTCGGTATTGGAGATCTCGGTGTCACTCTATCATCCGTGGCTGAGGTGATGTTCGGGGGCCACAGAGATCTAGCGTTTCCGACAAAATGCGAACTCCAACGTCACCCGCAGTTTTCCATTTTCACAAAGCCCCCTTTCGTTTACGTTGGAATGCTCCTACAGATTTACAAGAGTGACCATTGACCTCCGTCCCGAATCTACTACATGAAATTGCAGTCCTGAACCGTTACCGGCTCCCTCTTCCACGCCTCCTCGCGTCTCTGCCGTTCGTGAACGGACCCCCCCAGTCCTCCCCCGCCGCCTGAGCTCGGGGCCTTGCTCAATGCTGACCGTTCGATGTCCTGCCCCGTGCTGGATCGGTCTCTGACCAGATTTCCAGACTCCCCTTGACCCTACTACTCCGTCACGCTTTTATTTCTCCCTATGCCGTCGCAGGAAATCCCGTCTACGGTGCTAAGGCCAGATAAGAGGTGGGCCCGAGTAGGACAAAGACATGGGCCTCACCGTTAACACTCACACTCGTTCGCGGGCCGTGTCGACCGCAGACATTCTCCGTCCGGAAGATAAGGACATTGCACAACTGGTCAAGAGCCTTGACAGCCTCGATTACAGCTCCTACAGTGCTCTGCAAAACAGTCTTGATCAGGCAACTTGTTTGCAGCAATTGCGCCACTTCCTCAAAGATGACAGCGATATCCACGGAGCGCACAGTGGTTTTCGACGAGCGGGTGGCTTCCAAGCGTTGCTTCGTCTACTTCGCTCGCTCGTTGACAGTTACTCTGCGCCAGCAAACCCTCCTGCCACTGCAAAGTCATTTCTTCAGTCTCTTTCGCAATGGTTCGGCGTGCTCGGGGCGGCTTTGGAAGGACATGAGGGAAATCAGAGATATTTCAGAACAAAGGTGGAGAGTGGCGGATGGATTGCGCTGCAATGCACGTTGGACCAATTTTTCAATACTCTATCTTGTCAGACAGGTGACGACCTACACTTGGAACACTTCTTTGGAATTCTCTTTGCAACGGCTACTGGCGTGGAAATGATTCAGGACATCTACACTGCTCTGGATCGGTCCGCAAGCTCTCAAGACCGAGCTCTACTCTCAGAAGAGACTATCAATTCAGCCAGAGCCGGCATTGTCAAAACGCTGGGAAACGTTAGTGAGCTGGCAGTGCCAGAGCTGCTAACTGCGATGCTTGGGCTTTGGACAACCGGTATCAAGGCTGGGAAGATTCCGCAACGACTTATGAGAGTCGCACTGCCACTCAGCCTCGAGAAAATTCTTTTGATATCAAGGCAGAATATCGTGTCTGCACACACAGCAGGAACCTTCACTGCAGTTCTCAGGCTGATCTTTGAAGAGCAACTATCTGCGACTGAAAGAAGTCTGATGAGGAAAGTTGCCCTGCTTTTGTGTCAAGAAGGAATCTCCAACCTGGATGATGCACATTTTCTTTTCAAACTGGCCAGTACATCTTCCGATGCAGCTTCATTCCTGCATGATGCTATCATTGTTTCCCGGCAGCCGCCTAGTCTGCAGTTCGATCTGTCCCAGCATGGCTATGCATCCACGGAACTGGCCACGCTTGGTAGACCCTTCCCACCTCTGGACACTGGCGGATACACTCTGTGCCTCTGGGCGCGGTTTGACGCCTTCGATACCCAAGCCCACACCACACTCTTTGGCGCTTTCGACAGAACTCAAACCTGTTTCGTTTTAGCCTACCTCGAGAAAGACACCCATCACCTTATTCTGCAGACTGCGATACAAGGCAACAGACCTAGTGTCAGATTCAAATCAGTTGCCTTTCAGCCAGATCGATGGTATCACATCTGTGTGGTGCACAAACGACCACGGACGACCTCTTCTTCCAAGGCTTTTCTATTTGTGGATGGAGACTTCGTCGAGCAACAGAAGGCAAACTACCCTTCTGCACCCCCGAATGATCGAGGTCAAAACATTGTCAAGATCCAAGCCTTTTTCGGTACGCCCCAAGATCTATCCCCGAGTTCTGCTGGAGTGGCTTGCTTGTCAAAGTGGTCGCTGGGTTCTGCAATCCTGTTTCAAGAGACCATAAGCGATGATTTAATCGCCGTCTTCTACCATCTTGGTCCAAAGTATCACGGCAATTTTCAGGATTGCCTTGGTTCTTTCCAGACGTACGAGGCCTCCGCAGCATTGAATTTACGAAACGAGATGTTACACCCCGGAAAGGAAGAGCAGTCAGAACTCATCATGGCCATCCGACAGAAAGCAAGCAGTCTCATCCGCGAGGACAAAATATTGATCAATGTTTCCCCTGCAACAATCCTCGATAGCGATGATCGAAACAACATTGATGAAACTCAATTGGTCAAGTCGCTGTCAAAGCTGGCAGCAAAAAATCTGGTGGCCTACACCCGTTCAGGTATGAGTGCTGTGGCGATCAATGGCGCAGTGCCCTCGATTAATGACGCGTTGACCCAAGGAAGAGGCGTTTTTCTTCTCATGGGTGATCCCACAGTGACAGTACCACAGTCATTGGACGATGCCAGCTGGCGTTTGGGTGGTTGCGGCGCCGTCGGACTGGGACTCGTTCAACGAGCGCGGACGACGGAAGACGTTGCTCTCGGGGTTGATATCCTCTTGGAAACAGTCCGACACAGTTGGAGGAACAGCGAAGTAATGGAGAGGGATGGCGGGTACGCAATTTTGGCGATGTTATTGAAAGAGAAGCTCAGCCTTCCCTCTCAGAACAGCGGCGAAGCTGTGAAAGTCGCTTGGGCAATCCCAACATCGAGACTCGATAGAACTGGGTTGAGCATGCGGGTATTGACCTCAATTCTTTCCTTCACCGGCTATAATTCTGAAGATCTCACGAAGTCTGTCATCAACAACCCTCTCGCTTACAAAGTCTTGATAGCGGACACCAGCCTGTGGAGATGTGGACCACTTCCTGTGCAACAGTTATACTTTGGCCAATTCTTGGCGTTTGGGGAGCAAAGTGAATACAAACGCTTCAACTTAAAGAGGTTAACAAGAATGAGAGTGCTTAAACGACTGATGGAAGCACTGAAATCGGAGCCTGTCGCACGGGCCATCATGCCACAGTATATGGCAGCAATCAAGGTCCTCCTGCCCCAAACATTGTCGGCGGAAACTTTACGCTCACTGGCACTGTTTATAACATTCTCGGTAAACAAACGCAATGTGGGATTGCAAGCGCGGAAACCCATCCGCAGGGAAGCACGGCAAAGAAGTTCGTCAGCTGGGTCATCTCACGGTCCCAAGGACGAAGTAGCCTCGACTTTGTCTCATTTTGAGATCGGAATGGAGGTTCTGCGCCTTTACTCAGAAATGCTATGCCGCAAAGGCGACGATAGCCTGATCAAAAAATTTGCCAAGACGGTCACGAACAAATGGCTTCTCTACCTGCTGTCCGAGACATCACCAGAAGTCGTGGTGCTTTCGATGAGGATTTTGGCAAGATTGCTCGTTGTACACGGCGACACTTATGTCAAGAAATTCAAAGACACGTCCAAGACTTCTGGCTTCACCATCATGACATATCGTTTGCAGAGATGGTGGCATCTTCCTGCGTTATGGCCTGCTTTGTTCGCCGTGCTATTTGATCTTGACGTTGCAAATCTAGATCTGGATAGAAATTTCGACCTATTTGGATTCATCGAGCTCTTTGCCAATCAAAAAGAGCGTTCAGTTTTCTACCCAGAAATTCTCGAGGTCAT